TCATCTTGTAAATTGCGCGTGTTAAAAAATGCCAAAACGAAGAAGCCAAAGCTGTAAATCAAAGGGAAAAAATACGAACTTAATTTAAACGACAAGCAAAAATAAAAAACGAAGCTTTAACAAGGCGAAAGAAAAGATTGGAGAAGGACAACAAAAAAATCAAGCAACAACAATGAAAAACCACAAAACGGAGCTTTTGTTTGCCAGTGTCGCATGCAGTCAATCTATGTATGAATGTCCGCGTGTATGTGTGTGTGAGTCGCCTGCCAATCAACTCAACAATCGCAATCAATTTGCCCCACTGCATAGCATCCCCCCCTCCCTTTGGCTACCAAGGCCCCCCACTGATTTTCCCACACCCCCAGGCACAGGTCCAGGCCCATTCCCATCCCTTCCATGCCATTTCGGGCGCATTGTCATGGTGCAAGTGCAACTGTCATTTCAAGCGAAATCTCTGCATATACCAAGAGAGAGAGAGGGAGAAGAACAAAGCTTCAGTGGGGTGAAAAAGAAAGAGATATATCAGTGAAATCAACCCAAAAACAAGAAAGGAAGCTAACTTCGGCACGCCGAAGTTTATATACCCTTGCAGATAGAACTTCTATGAATAGGAATCAATACAATATAAATTAGATATATTTGTGTTAAAAAACAATGAAGTAATACCTGCTTTCATTTCATTCACCTATACATATTATATTTGCAGTTTTACATTCACAGATTTGCATTTTTCCTCTACATCAAACGATCGTTTGTATGGCACCTATTTGATATAGTCGTCCGATTTTTATGAAATTTGCCACAAAATTTAAAACTTATATAAAATGGCTATACCTCAAATTGGATGAAAATCAGCTGAAAACTAAAAAAGTTATAAATTTAATTGTATTAATTTCTCGATCGTTCCTATGGGAGCTATATGATATAGTAATCCGATTTTCATAAAATTTTACCCAAAATTTTAGAATAATATGAAATGGCTATATTTCAAATTTGATTAAATTCTGTTGAAAACTAAAAATGTTATCGCCACCGCGATTGTCAGTCTTCCGACAACAGCCACCGCCATTCTCATTCCTCTCAAATTTCTCGATCGTTCCTATGGGAGCTATATGATATATTAGTCCGATTTTCATAAAATTTTACACAAAATTGTAGAATAATATGAAACGGCTATATCTCAAATTTGATGAAAATCTGTTGAAAACTGAAAATGTTATACTTATTAATTGAATTAATTTCTCGATCGTTCCTATGGGAGCTATATGATATAGTCGTCCGATTTTCATAAAATTTTACACAAAATTGTAGAATAATATGAAATGGCTATATCTCAAATTTGATCAAATTCTGTTGAAAACTAAAAATTTTATAATTTTTTTTGTAAAACTTTTCCGATCATTCCTATGACAGCTATATGATATAGTCGTCCGATCCGGCCCGTTCCGACATATATACGAGTGAGAGTATATAGAAGACTAACTGCAAAGTTTCATTCAGATAGCTTCAAAACTGAGAGACTAGTTTGCGTAGAAACGGACAGACGGACAGACGGACAGACGGACATGGCTAGATCGACTCGGCTGTTGATCCTGATCAAGAATATATATACTTTATATAGTCGGAGGTGCCTCCTTCACTGCGTTGCAAACTTCTGACTGAAATTATAATACCCTGCAAGGGTATAAAAATAAACAACAACAACAAAATGCCCACGGCGACGCAGTGCATTTTTTAATTACGATCCTGCGACATTAAGGACCGCAAACGTCACATACATGAATCATGGAGACACAAGATATTTAACAAACGGCAGAGAAAAAGGATGAGAAATTATATACTGTCATGGACATTCTTTAAGTATAAGTACGTATTTAAAGAAATTATTAAAGTTTAAACAAGAGTATTTATGTATATATATATATATAAACTAATTTCATTGATAAAATTCAGCAGCTTAGGAATTATTTCGTTCTTCACCACGAAAGGCTTTCAATCCACAAAAGTGGATCGTATTTTATGATCTACATACATCCCATACGAGCAATTTCGTTTTCAATGGGAATTATCACAAAGAAGAAACCTAACGGTGATAACTAAGCAGAGGAAAAGAAATATGAATGATCTTCTGACTCACCCTGTAATTTAATGCAGGTGCAAACGATCTTCTTTGATTTCATTCACAAAGCTATACACTGAAAAAAGTCAGGCCAGAGAAATATAACAAGTGCAACAAAAAAAAAAAACCGAACCGAGGCGGCAACTAGGGAAGCTTTTAAACACTTTTGAAACACTTGCACTTTTGGATTATTTTGTTTCACTTTCTCAATTATTTTTCTCTTTAGGCCAAAAACACAAACTAAGTTTACAGTGTACTTTACCTGAGCATAGGTTTTGAGTCTTTTTATACGGATTTTCGCACGATAATTCGGTTTCAAACCCTCCAGAGGGCTGGATTTTCACAACGAGGCGATTATCTCCACCGATTTTTCCGATCGATTTCCCACTTCTCGCACTTTTTCCGTACCCGATGCATAATTCCCGACCGAACTAACCGGATGGCAATGCAAAATGCAAAGCAATTTGAAGACTTTATTGGAATATCGGAGATAAGCGAGATTGTCGAGATAAGCGATAAGAGCTTAAGCTGGGAGCAGGGAAGTCTAGAGAGCGGCACTCTGTCTCTCTCAATTCTCTTCTCTCAGCTCTCTTTCCCATATTAAGAAATCGAAGCTTTGCGTCCCAACTGCTTCTCTCAAATTTCGGAGGCTTGAGAACGTGGGAACCACGATATATTTTATTGATGTGCGTTACCTGAGCTGATAAGCTCGCTCGTCCGTTTTTTACCTTATATTTATTGTTTAATCCTGTTTCTAGAAAAAAAATGTATGAATTTAGAAATGTGGTTACGTTTGAGGCTGAAAGCATGTTTACCCGCTATAAGCTAGCTTATCAGCTCGGCCGTCCACTTACACTTACCTCTCTTTTAAGATTGCAGTAGACCACAAAATAAAATATTTTTTGGTTTCTAATAGAAAGAGAAATGCTATTTATATCTCAATCGTTACTATATATATGTATATAGTCCGATTTTCATAAAATTTAAATTAAAATTCTAAAAAATACAATGGTTTATGACAGCTGCCAATGACATTATTTAGTTTTCAATCAAAATTGACAATTCGGTTTACAAAAAAAAAATCCCAAAATTATTCGAAAACAAAAAACTAGCCTGGATAAAAAGAAAATACAAATCAGTCGCTCCGAAATATGATTTAAAATTGTACAAAAATGTATGCGTATTATATTTGAATCAAACCCATCATAATACGTATACGCACCGTTGTACCCATCCACACACACACACGCACGCTCTCATTCATAAATTTTCCGAGCATTGTTATGCTAAATTTATTTGCCCTCGCAGCCATCTGTCGTTGCTGTTTGCGTTGTTGTTGTTAACTTCATCAGAAGTGCGATTGAAACGCAACTTCCGTTTCCGCAAAATGGCTGTCAATGTGTGGTATGGGCATGGCGAATGACGGAAAAAGCGAAAGGAGGCAAAACGTTAGGGTGAGACAAAATGAAAAAAAAAATAAGGAAAAGCACGAGTGGCACCGAGTTCCACTTTGCCTGCAAACAAATCAACTTGAACTTCCGTTTCATTTCGCTTTTTCTTGCCATTTCATATTCTTTTGCAAGTTCCGGCAGCACACCGCTTTTCCTCTCGCTCGGGAAAACCCACTCAACTCTCAATTTTTATTTTCTCTTTACTGTGCATTTCAGCGACTTTAGCGTAAATTTACTTTTCACTTTCAGCGCGCCATCAAAAAAGTTTTTGTGCATAGCTAACTTTTTGGCTCACATTACGTATATTTTCCATATTTTTCCTTCTTCACTTGCCCGTCACCTCCTTTGGTCTACGTGTCTTTTCAATGTCATTGCACACACTCCTACACTGATAAAAATTGCTTAAAGAAATAAGGAAATTTATTGTCAAATACTATAATAAATATGAATGATACATATATATGTATATAAATGGTTAAACGTTCTGCTGTAATTTTATTTTGTTTTTAATTCTTTTATTTTAGTAATAGAAACATTTTTCTTTCTCTGCTCGCCTTTTTTTTCCTCAACACACTTGGAAAATTTTCCGTATGTGCTGCAGGAGAGGAAACTTTGTCTTTTTGGCATTTCATTTCCTTCATTTCAGCCGTTTTGCGCCTCGGAGGGGTTTCCCTTTTCTTTTCTTCTATTCATTTTTTGTTTTTATGTGGGCGTTACAGTGTCTCCTCTTATTTTCACCCTAGTTGTTGTTGCTTAATTTAATGCTCGAGTGCCTATTTAAATTTCTGTCCCTCATCGTCGTGTCTGCATTTCCAATTTTGTTTTGTCATTTGCGTTTGGTTTTATACATAATATTTTCCTTTCGTTTTGCAGAGAAATCAATCAGCGACCGGCACGTGTGTGCATTGATAACATTGCCAATAATAGGAAAGCGAAATGTATTTTTGGCAGCCCATGAAAATACATATGTATATCTCAACTTTTCGCAGCGAGTTAGTGTTTGTTTGTGCGATGGCTGGAAAAGATGAAAACAATTTGTGTGTAGCACACTTTTGGCCAGAATAATTTCTTTTCAGAGGAAATGGGAATGGAGAAGTTTGAACAATATCAAAAGATGCCTGGCTACAAATTTAAAATTTTGGTAATTATTATTGCTTGATTCAGATAATGAAATATTATTGAAAGAAGTTAATTTGCAGGGATGAATATATTTTTATACGTGTATGAAATTACTGGAATAATAGAAATTTTAAAAAAGTTCAAGATAGTTTTAAAAACCATCAATCGTTAGTTCAAACTAAAGGAAGAATTTATACAAAAGAATACGTACAAATAATAACAAGTTTTAGTTAAATATGTTTGGTTTATTTTTGCTTTAGCTTAAAAGAAAATTAAGCAAATCCTTATTATTCTTTGACATATCCGTATAAAACATCTTTAAAAGGTTGAAAATACACAAAGTATAAAATCTTATTTAAATTAACATCAATCTTAACTTTGACGAAGAGTCAATAACAATTTCATTTGCTTTTAAAAATACAAAACCTATTTTGACTTACTTACAAAACTACACTTTAGTTTCGCTTCACTTTTCCCCCCTGAGTGTTATTTTCCCCCGAAACTAGTTTCTTTATCAGCCTCAAAATGGCGAATGGCAATACAATTAGCAGGAAAATTGCAACTCCTAATAGTATAAGTAGGACATCCACATTGTGATATTGCCACCAGTTCAGTCTTTGGGCGGCACTCTTTAAATAAGCAGCTCCTTGATGGCGGGTCACGTGTTCCACCCAGTACACGGCATTCTCCAAGGGAGTCTGCTGCTGATCCCGATACCTAAAGGACATGCCCCGCACTACCTCCGTGTAGGATGCTTCGCTGGTAATCCTCTCAATGGCCGCCCGGAAGTCCTGAGCCTTCAACGCCTTAAAATCCAACATAATGCCATATCCAGTTTGCTCGGCATGAGCCATGTTGAAGAATTGATCGCTGAAAATCGGTAAACCGATCACAGGTTTTCCATGGTAAATAGACTCCGTTGTGCTCAGCATGCCTCCATGTGTGGCAAAGGCCAAAACCTTCGGATGGGCTAGAATGTCGGTCTGTGGAAACCAATCGGAAATGTAGACATTATCCGGCTTATTGGGCAGATTCTCCTGCTCGAATTTCCACAGAACACGCTGCTTGAGACCCCTAAAGGCTTTCAGGATCTCTTCAACCTTTGCCTGTGGCAAGTCCTTGCTCTTGAGATTGGAACCCATGGAGAAATAGATGACTCCATGCTCTGATTCATTGAGGAACTTCCTTATGCGCTCGGGCAATGGACTTAGCTTTCCGTCAATATGCATGCCACCCACTTCGATCATGTTGGGTGCATATGGACGCGGAAAACTGAGAGACACATGCTGATTGATCAGCACCAGAGAGGCATTCCGACGCATCTCATAGAAACTTTGCTTATTTTCCGGGAAGAACTCCTTGTATAGTTGGTCTTGTCCTGGCAGGTAATAATAGTCCAGGAGCAGTCTCTCATAGGCCAGGAAGGCAACATTGGCAAGACGTTCGTATAGAGACATGTGATCATTGAAAGGCAACATTATGTGGGGCACAAAGGAAGCTGGAGCTGGGGAACCAACCTGTAATAAAAATTCATAAGAATATTAATGAATTTGGTTTACTGTTATTAAAGATTAAAAAATTAACAATTTCACCAAAGAGAACATTGTTAATTTAGAAAATTTACAATGATAAATGTGAGTTTAACCATATCTTACCATATCTGTAATAAAGGTGAGACCACCACCGGTGCTTAGTCCAATTAGTGGAGCCTTGAAGTGCTCAGCCAAGCCATAATGGGCATCATTATAGAAGGTTTCACATATTACCGCATCGAAGGTACTATTGCTCTTCAAGAGCTCCTGGAAGTTGGGTTCCTCAAACAGAGCTCTGGTCAGCCGAAAACCCATTTGATAATGATCAATGAGTTTTTGTGTCACAGGTTTCTGAATAGAAGCCCATAAGCCAGCCAAGTCACCTATAACAAGATATAATTTATTTCATAAAACATTCAAATTGCCTTCCCTAGTACTCACCCTTCATTGCATTTATAACATTTGGTATATAAATATCATGATAACCAGGTATGGGTTTCTTTAAAGGAAACACAGATGCCACACTGATCTCATGACCGGCCTGGACCAATCCCTTGGCCAGGGCATGACCCACATTGAAGTGCGAACGGCCGGGAGAGTTCAAGATCATGAGGAACTTGTAGCCACTGGTTGATCCCAAGCTAAATATTAGCGCCAAGATCAAGGAAAATAAACGCATGGTGATGAAAATCAACCAAAGAAACCCAACACCGAGAACCAAACCGAACACGCTGCTTCACAAAACTAAGAATGTTTGCCGCGCTGAAGCTACAATTTATATAGATATCGGGTGTATATATGTAATATATATACACACTCGATTATTGTGAAATTCTCGGTTGCGTGAGGTTTGGCACACAGACTGGACACAAGCCAAATGGTAAACATTAATGCTTTGATTGTTTAAAAACATAAATACTGTAAGTGGACTTTTGAATGCTCTTAAAATGAGAATAGGTTAAATAATTTATTAAATACAGGTGATAGATTTTTGTTTCTTAAGAAGGCAATTATATGATCTACATATTTATTTTTATTTTTCATATAACCTTTATATATATATATATATTATTTTATATCAAGTTAGGGTATATTTAAGAGATTTATATAGAACTTAAAAGTGCCGATCAATCAGAATTTGAATTAAGTAACTTAAGTTCCTACCATGTGGGCTCTCCCTCTCTCTCATTCTCTCTGCCAAACAAAACGTGTTTGACTCAATTCAAAGCTTTTAATCTAAGAGAAAAAGTCTAAATAAAGAGCACAGATGACAACATTTAAGAGAACCAGTTTGACTGACAATTAAAACAAAAATTTGTTAAATGTTTTTTAGAAAAAACATATTATAAGAGACAGATTTATAATGAGGTTTCTTCTCTAAATAATTTTTGTTAACTTAATATCACAAGTTACGACTCTAATTTCTATTTATATAGAAATTTGGAATCAAGTTCATTATAACCGCTTGAATCTTATCACTGACCTAATCCACTCGCCTTTTATTTCTTATCTGGGCTATAAGTAGCTGTGCCACCCATTGGTTCTTCACAGTCTGGTTTAAAAATTCAAAAGTGCTGTGTGACAATGCGCTGCTTTCTTAATTTTCTGCCTTTTCTGCTTACCATGGCCTTGGTAGGTCAGGCATGTGGTTATTCTTACCTGATGGTGATGCACACCGCCTCCAAATCGCACCACGTTGTGGGTGAGGCACTGGCCAAAGGATTAATAGCTGCCGGTCATGAGGTCACCATAATATCACCATTTGCCCAGAAGAAACCTATCAAAAACCTCATCGACATTGACACGCCAAACACTATCAAAATAATGGAAGGTGAGTCGTAATATTATCTGGGAGTTCCCTCGATCTGTCACGTATGGCTTATCGTCACAACATTTAATGATAATAAAAACGTGCATCGAAATCTCAGTTGGTAATCAAGGAAACTACAATGTTATCTACATATAAAAAGATCAAAATATAATATGTAATTAATCTTCTTTTGTTTCTTATAAACCCTTAAGCTTACAAATCAAGGATCTTACAAAATATGAAAAAATCATTGGTTTTGCGCTATCCCCTCATGCATGGAATGGGATTGGATCTGACAGAAGTCCTTCTGGTGGCCCCGGAGGTGCAGGAGCTCCTCGGACGAAATCGAACCTTCGATGCCGTCATCTGTGAGTCATTCATGAACGACGCCCACTATGGATTTGCTGAACACTTTGGAGCACCACTTATCACGCTAAGCCCTCTGGGAGCCACTGGCTGGACCTCAGATCTGGTGGGCACACCCTCTCCTCCTTCGTATGTTCCGCACTTCTTATTGCCATTCGACGATCATATGGATTTCTGGCAGAGAGCCCAGAATCTAGGATTCCAGGCATACGAATATATTTACCATAATTGGGTCTATCTACCCAAACAGGAGGCTATGTATAAAAAGTACTTCACAAACAATAAGCAAGACTTTTATAAGATGCGCAGAGACACTTCGTTGGTCCTGCTAAACAATCATGTTTCACTGAGCAATCCTCGTCCCTATTCGCCCAATATGATTGAGGTCGGTGGAATGCACGTGAGTCGGAAGGATCCAAAGCCCCTGCCCAAGGATATTCGGGAATTTATTGAGGGAGCCGAGCATGGTGTGATCTATTTCTCCCTGGGCTCCAATCTCAAGAGCAAGGACTTGCCAGAGGAGAAACGAAAGGCCTTTGTGGAGACCCTAAAGGGTCTCAAGTTCCGAGTGCTTTGGAAATACGAAGATGACAACTTTGCCGACAAGCCTGCCAACGTGTTTATATCCAAATGGTTCCCGCAGGACGACATCCTGGCCCACGAGAAGGTCATAGCCTTTATAACCCATGGCGGACTCTTGAGCACCATGGAGACCATTTACCATGGCAAACCGGTCGTGGGAATACCCTTCTTTGGGGATCAGTTTATGAACATGGCACGAGCTGAGCAATTGGGCTATGGAATCACTGTAAAATATGGCCAACTCACAGCTTCTCGTTTCCGTTCCGCCATCGATCGGATCACCAGTGACCCCAGCTATATGCAGCGGGCCAAGGCCATGTCCAGCCAGTTTCGAGATCAGAAGGAGACACCCCTGGAGAGGGCTGTTTACTGGGTGGAGCACGTGACCCGGCAGAGGGGAGCCAAGTATCTAAGGAGTGCCTCGCAGGATCTGAGTTTTGTAGAGTACCACAATTTGGACGTTTTGGCAGCATTCTTCGCTATTTTCAGTTTGGTTTTAGTTTCGTTAGTGCTTCTAATCCGATTTATTGCTATTAAAGTGAAAGGTTCTAAAGCGAAAACTTTAAAACAGAAGACTAATTAGACATAGTTTTAAATGTGTATCAAAATAAATAATATATATTTAGTACAAATATTGAAATGTAATTTATATTTAGATATTTTTATACATTTAAAAACTAATAAACTATTGTCAGAGACAATGACTTTAAAGATTAAAAAACATTATTTTATTACTTTAATTAAGAATTCGAATTTATATTAAACGTCAATGAATAACTTAAAATGAGAAAGCTTTATCAATTTTGGAAATATATACATTTATTTAATCCGATATTACAATAATATAATAATATATTTATTTTATTTTGATAACACAAATTGCTGAGTTGATATTTTGTGTTTCAAGATTAAAAAAAAAGGGCTTGAGGTTGGGTTTCTAAAAAAAATATATTTATATTCGTAATAAATTAAAAAAAAAATAAGAAACTGACAGTTTTATAAATTTGTTACAATAACGAACAAAAGCCATATTAAAAAAGATGAACCATACTTTTATATTAAGATTATTAAATGAATAAATTTATATTATAAAAGTTATACAACAAATGGAACAACTAATTTCTGAAACCGAAATGTATATATTCTTGCAGTTTAAATTAAATAAATAGAATCAAATCGGAAATTCATCATAACTAAGCTAAAAATATTAGAATTTTTGGAATTGATTTGTTTTATATTACAATTTACCCGCAAATCAAAGTTTTTAAAAAATCATAAATAAGCCAAGAAAGCATTAATTCAATTAGTTTATAAAGCTTTTCCATGATATTTGTTATAAGGTTAATTAATTGGCATTGTTATATTAACCATTTATGAAATGTTGAAAAAATTTCAAATTTTTGTTGGTTTGCTGCAGATGTCTAGAGTCTAGACCGACTTTTCTATTGATTCTGATCACTATGTTCTTTATAGGGTCGGAATAAACTATTTCAAAGCGTCGCAATAACCCGTTAGTTTATAAAAATCCCATTGCTAAAGTAATATTTTGTTCTCCAATCTGTAAGCACATAATTATGAAAAAATATACAACATTTACTATAATAACTTTTTTATATTCATTACATCTAGATTTTGTGGTATAAACACAATGGGTCAACGAGGTGTTAATTATATTTTCATTTTTGTTGCTGGCCCTAGGCGAACCCTTTTAAAATTAAAACGACTACACCCATAACACTAGACGACCGTTTATTATCATCGAACAAAAAACAATCATTAATTATATGTATACACACACTTATAAAATCCAAACAAAATTCTTGTTTAATCTATCAAAAGTTAGCGGCCAAAACAAAACAAAGGAGAGAATATAGATAGAAAACGAAACAGAACCCGTAACTCGAGAGAGAGAAGCTAAACACTGCCGCCTTGAATAGCTTTTCGATCGTGAGCAGACTAAATGATTTTGAGGGGCATTTTTGGCTGAGTAACGATGATGAAAAGAGAACTACTGAAATATAGAGATATGGCGCGATAGGGAGAATAAACTTGCTGATTATCGACAGGTCAGAGCGGTAACGAGAGAGAACTGTGAGACCTAACCCAACGCTTATAATTACCTCATCGCAGTCCCAAGTCAGCTCAGTTTATTTCGAGGCGCCAAGCCATCAGTATCGATGATAGCAGCTCCCGAAAACACCATCGTCCGCTGATAACAATAAGCAAAATCATATATTTCACAACTAATGACAAATAAGTCCCATTAATTGCTTAGAATTTGTGAGCCGGAGAACAGTGAGAATGAAACCAACAGGTGGTCAAACGAGTTTCTTGGGCCTACTGCTGCTTTGCCTGCTGAGCTGCGTGTCGGCCTATAATTATCTGGTTGTGCTCCATACCGCCGCCCGATCCCACTACCATGTGGGATCAGCCCTGGCCAAGGGATTAGCCAGTGCCGGCCATCAGGTCACCCTTGTGTCACCCTTCGAGCTAAAGAAGCCCATCAAAAATATCAAGGATGTGACAGCCAAAGGCATTATAGCCAGCATGGAGGGTGAGTTTGGTTCCGAGTAAAATTCTCTCTGATTGAGGAATTATACAATAGTTGGTAATTGATGTGCTGTAAATTACCACCTGTAATTCATTTTTGCAATTTCTGAAGTTTTCTATAATATTTTCACGCTAACTCATTTGTTTGTAACTGAAATTCCTAGACAAGTAATAATATTTCTTTTCGTAAACAAGCTCAGCTTTGTCTTACAGTTTTACAGTTAAAGCTTTTAGAGCTTAGACCATATGTTTATTTAAATGAAAATGAAAACAAATAAGACGACAACCGGTTCAAGTTATTTTTAGCTTTCTAAAATAAAACATAATATCGATTTGTATAAAATCAAATTAATAATTTTTCTGCCTTGAGGTCTGCTAACTTTTACCAAATAAAATTGTCGAAGGCATATATTTTTATTAAATATTTATAACAAATATAATTACTACTAATATTTACGCAGTACATTTCAAGATTTCATCATATTTTCCATGCTGAAATATTTCAAGCTACTTTATCCAAAGATTACATAATGGTTAAACAAGACTTGTCTTGTGAATAGCTAAGCATTTATATTATATTAAATATTTAATTTTTTTGTAGATTTTTTTACACCATATTATAAAAACCTCAGTCTTAAATTACTTTATGCTGAATACAAGTTTATTGTTCCAGACATTTCGTAACATATTAAAAGATTGCGCTGATAGCTTAATATTATCTTGCCTTCTTATCACACTTCTTCTGATAACAACTAAGCTTCTTTGATTGGAAATATTATGTAAAATATTTGACATCAACTATGATTACAAGCACATTTCCTTAGCTCCTTATATATATTAAATTTTTTTTTAAATTTTAGGAAGAATGACCAACTTACTGGAGAGTTCCAAGCAGCCGATAATCAAGCAGATCGTGGAGTTCCATAAAATGGGAATTGAAATAACCGATACTTTGCTAAGTGATCCCGGCGTGATTGAGCTTATGAAAACGAATCAGACTTTTGATGCTGTGATATGTGAGGTTTTCCTCAATGAAGCTCATTTTGGCCTGGCCGAGCATTTTAAGGCCCCGCTGATAGGAGTGGGCACCTTTGGAGCCATTAGCTGGAATACAGATCTGGTGAGCAGATATATTACAATTACTTAAAGCTCCTTAAACTAATAAATCCTTTTCCTCAATCTTAATAGGTTGGCACACCATCTCCGCCGTCGTATGTGCCACATGCCATGCTCAAGTTTAGCGACCGCATGTCCTTTGTGGAACGTGTGGCAAATCTGGCCTTTGCCACCTATGAGTATCTGTTCCTCAACTTTATCTATTTGCCACGACAAGAGGTCCTGTACCGAAAGTATTTCCCCAACAACAAGCAGGACTTTTACGATATGCGCAGGAATACTGCTCTAGTGCTTTTGAATCAACATGTCTCACTCAGTTTCCCGAGACCCTACTCCCCCAACATGATCGAGGTGGGCGGCATGCATATTAACCGCAAACGCAACCCTCTGCCCAAGGACATTGAGGCGTTTATCGAGGGAGCCGAGCATGGAGTCATCTATTTCTCCATGGGTTCCAATTTGAAGAGCAAGACCTTGCCGCTGGACAAGAGGCAGGCATTGATCGACACTTTTGCCCAACTGAAGCAGCGAGTGCTGTGGAAGTTCGAGGATACCAACTTGCCTGGTAAACCTGATAATGTCTTCATCTCGGACTGGTTCCCCCAGGACGATATCCTGGCTCATGATAATGTGATTGCCTTTATCACACACGGAGGTCTTCTGAGTACCACGGAATCGATTTACCATCGCAAACCCTTCGTAGGCATCCCAATCTTTGGGGATCAGTTCCTAAACATGGCCCGGGCTGAGCAGAATGGCTATGGTGTGACCGTAAACTACGAGGAACTGACTGCTCCCAGACTCCTGGCAGCTATTCAGCGACTTATTCAGGATCCTGAGGCCACCCAAAAGGTGCGCGACATGTCCGACAGGTATCGGGATCAGCCGCAAAAACCTCTGGAGCGAGCTGTGTTCTGGGTAGAGCATGTGTCCCGACACAAGGGTGCCAAGTATCTAAGGAGCGCCTCTCAGGATCTGAATTTCATTCAGTATCACAGCCTGGATACTATGCTAGTCCTTTACGGTGGCATTGCATTTGTGATATTCTGCATTATGCTGCTCATACGTCGAATTTTCCGCTTTCTGCAGGAATTGTTTATAAAGAATGATACTCCCAAACAGAAGCCGAAGGTCAAGCGTAATTAAGAACCAGAAACTATTGAAAGTAAGAATACCTTTAGAATAAATACGGTGATATGTTTTAAAAGTTTATATTTATTTAATATCCTGAGGGCAGAAGAAAGATACTGTTTCCACAGTCATAAAAAGCCCAAGCAAATCTAAAAAATTGTATACCTTAATAATTCAAGACAGACAATTCGATTCAGTTTTCTTTTTTAAAATAAAAAATACTTTATATATAGATGATATTGATGTTGTTGTACAAGTCGTGAAAATTTTATTTGATTTTTCAGTGTGTTGTGCGGTTGGTTCCAGCCTGCGGCTCAAAACTTGTAAACTAAAACGGAAAATATTGTGAACTTCTATCGAAAAAATAATTCCTTGCCATACCATTCTCTCTTTTGCCCTTCTCTTTCTCTGCTGATTTTATTCCTCTTTATAGTTTTATACCCTAAAAAAGGATTTTATATTTGCTTTGAAGACTTTGAATCCTTTATTTATATTTTATTCAAAGAAGAAATTACAGTAAAATAGATCCTAACGAACTTTAACGTTTGGAATTTAGTAAAACAATAATGAGTATGTTTTATTATTAGTAGAAGTAGATTCTATTTGTAATGAACTTATAATGAATTACATAAGTTTAATTATTATTTTATTAATTATTTATAAAATAAATTGACAAATGCTTAGAAACTAAAATCAAACAGTTTTGATTTCTGATCGATATATACTTTAAAATAATTTTCCCTCTGAAGAAATGGCATACTTAATGCAAACCTTGACTTTAATTTATTGTTTCTTTTATTTTTCAGGGCATTGAAAATTCAGCTTAAAGTTTTCTTCATTGGATCCTTTTTTCTTTGCCCGCATCAGCAGCTCTCCCCCTTGTGTTGCAAGTTGCACATAGTTAACGCTTCAGTTGTAAAAATGCCCATCAGCGCGTTCAAATTTTTAACAGCAACCAAACTGAGTGCCACGCCCACTCACGCTGCCACTCCCACAAAAGGGCCGCAGGCAAAATGCTTTTATTTTCCTTACCGTGCATCCTCCCCCTATTTTCACCAAACTCCCCCTTGATCCTCCCTACCCCCGATCCCTTGGGCTGGCAAAAGGCGTGTAAAAGTTTTAGCGCAACTTATTGAAACTGTTTTGGGCCATGGCCATGCTGCTGGAAAATCAGCGTCCGTCGCGGAAATGTTGACGGCTTTAATACCGAACCAACTGTAAAAAGTGTGGCCAAGATGCCCTTGCTTTTGTGCCATTAAATTTGTGGTATATAAATAAAAACCATGGGAGATTGGGTTCTTTAGATCAAAGAAATGAATAAAAGAAAATTTTAAATAATTAGAAAATGATTAATGAAGAATAAACAAATAAGGCTTTGCCATCGTCACCTTAAAATTGGCGAAATTCGCACTTTTTTCCCTTGCAGGGTATTACAATTTCAGTCAGAGGTTTGCAACGCAGTGAAGGAGGCACCTCCGACCATTTAAAGTATATATATATTCTTGATCAGGATCAACAGCCGAGTCGATCTAGCCATGTCCGTCTGTCCGTTTCTACACAAACTAGTCTCTCAGTTTTGAAGGTATCTGAATGAAACTTTGTAGTTAGCCTTCTATATACTTTTACTCATATATATGTCGGAACGGGCCAGATCGGACGACTATATCATATAGCTGCCATAGGAATGATCGGAAAATTTTTACAAAAAAAATATAACATTTTTAGTTTTCAACAGAATTTGATCAAATTTGAGATATAGCCATTTTATTATACTCTACAATTTTGTGTAAATTTTATTATTTATTTATTTGATTATATTTAAATTGTTTAAATCGGACTACTTTTTCATATAGGAACGATCGCGAAATGAATACAATTAAAAATTATAATTTATTTATTTATTTATATTAGTCTTAAATTTGTGTCAAATTTCATGAAAATCGGACGACTATATCATATAGGTGCCATACAAACGATCGTTTGATGTAGAGGAAAAATGCAAATCTGTGAATGTAAAACTGCATATATAATATGAATAGGTGCATGAAATGAAAGCCGGTATTACTTCATAGTTTTTTAACATAAATATATATAATTTATATGGTATGGATTCCTAGTTATAGAAGTTCTATCTTCAGCGTGCCAAAGATAGCTTCATTTCTTGTTATTATTTTATTATAAAATTACTACTTACTATATTTCATATTATAACCACATAAAATAGATATGTATGTATTATAGACATTTCAAGTTCAATAAAAAAACTAATTTTATTGAAATGCTTTATTAGTTAATTTTAATGTCTCTTAATATAAATATAAAAAAAAAAATTTCGGTGCACAATATAATTAATTTGTGATTGAATATTGACTAACTATAAACTTGTTGGGGAAATACCCATTGATTGACACAGAAACTAATTCAATTTGACGCCAACTAATATTTACCACACGACACATATTTAGAACAAAATATCAACTAAAGTTACGGATTAATGAAATTGGTAACAATATTATAAAATGAATAATTAAATAATTAAATTTATATTTCTTTATGAATAATAATTATTAAATGTTTAAGTTTATTTACTGATCACTCATTAAGTATTAGAATTGATATTAAGAAAAAAATATATATTCTTAATGAATGAAATCTTAGTTTGCGCTCGCAATCTTTAAAACTTATACTTAAAGATGAAAAATATATATATCATTTACCACCTGATGTTATAAAAGAATATTCTTTCTTTCATTCCTTTGTTCTTATCTGCAACGACTATTCAGCTGTTCAGCACCGTCTTCTATAGGTATAAAACTGATCGTTTTTTACAAAAACGTCCAAGTGATCTCATTATTATGCCCGTTCAGACCCCAATCGTCGGTGGGTAAAGCCCCAGATGCGATTTTCAGGCACTTACTTAGCTTACTATAAAAGTGACAGCGGAATCTTTTACAAACTCAGTCAAAATCGTGTAGCAAGATGAACAAGATGTTGGTTGTGGAACTGCTGGTTCTGCTGGCCAGCTCATCGGTTTTTTCCATCGAAGTTGATACAGATCTGGGTCGCATTCGAGGAGTAAATCTTACCTCCCGATTGGGCTTAAGTTTCCATGCTTTTCGAGGTATTCGGTATGCAGAACCGGCTTTGGGTGCTTTGCGATTCGTGAATCCTCAGCCGGTGAAGTCCTGGTCTCCGGAGACTTTCGATGCCAGCCAAGATGGACCAATGTGTCCGCAGCCATGGGATAATATGACCGATGTCTCGGAGGATTGCCTGCGTCTCAATGTTTACACAAAGGATTTAAAGGCACGAAAACCGGTGATTGTTTTCCTGCATCCAGGTGGATTTTATGTGTTCTCCGGGCAGAGCAAATACTTGGCTGGACCAGAGCCTTTAATGGATCGTGATTGTGTCTTGGTCTCGTTGAATTATCGCCTGGGCAGCTTGGGATTCCTGGCCACCGGCACTAAGGAAGCACCCGGAAATGCGGGTCTCAAGGATCAGGTAATGGCACTGCGCTGGATCCAGAAGCACATCCATCGCTTTGGTGGTGATCCTGGAAGTGTAACCCTTTTGGGGTACAGTGCGGGCAGTATAAGCATTGGTCTGCACATGATCTCACCAATGTCGCGAGGTCTCTTCCATCGCGGAATCTGCATGAGTGCCTCTCCATATGGACCTGCTAAATACAAAGGTAATGACCTTCAGTTGGCCCAACGTCAGGCGAGGTTATTGAAGTGTCCCCAGGAACCTGTGGCGGAAATGGTGGAGTGCATGAGACGGAAACCTTACTTGGACTATGTGAGCACATACAATGGAATGTTCGAGTTTGGCTGGAATCCCGTGCTCAACTGGAGGATCGTAATCGAAGAGGACTTTGGTCAGGAGCGGTTTCTTATCGAGGATCCCTTTAAGACCGCCCGGCGTGGTGACTTCTACAAGGTGCCTCTTATCACTGGAATCACTGAGTTTGAATTTATATCTGCAGCATTTTGTGAGTATTATTTATCGAGGTTCATTGTATTATAATTGAAGCTTTTCATTTTTAATACCCTCTTTCCAGTGGATCTCCGGAATCAAAGCATCGTTAGCAAATACAATTCAGACTGGGAACATTTTGCTCCCATTTCTTTGATTTTGGATCGTGACTCGAATCACTCAAGAACAGCCAGTCGCATTTTAAGAGAGAAGTATATGCCTGAGAGCCGTGACAAACTGGAGTATCCAAAGTCGCTTAAGGGTTTAGGAGAACTCTATAGCGATGCCTTGATTGGAGTGGCCTTTAATCGATTTCTCCGCCTGATGGCCCCGCATACACCGATCTACACGTATCTGTTTCGGTACAAGGGTAGATATAGTTTCCTGAAAAACCCCGATACCCAAGAAGCAATGGGTAAGTATACACTTTAAATCGGGGGATTATGTGCTGTATAAATCATCTATTTACTTGTAGGTCCGGTACACCATGATGAGCTCTTGTATTTGTTCCATGTGGGTCTCATAGGTCCTTTATTAAAACGGGAGGATCCTGAGAACTTAACTATAGAGCGTTTGACACGCATGTGGATGGAATTTGCTAAAAAGGGGTGAGTATTTAATTTAAATAAATCGAACTATATTTATAATTATGTCTGTTTTTAATTAGTGATCCCCACAACAAGGACGATGAATACCTGAAAGACCTTAACTGGCCTCGATACTGTGCCGAAAAGCAAGATTATTTGGAAATTGGTAACGATTTGACAGCAAAAACTGGTGGCTTTTTTCTAAATCGATATCATATTTGGGATGAGTTGTTTCCTTTGAACAGCTTTTAATTACTGTTTTTATTCCATTATTTTTATTATTATTTTTTGATTACATTTAAATCTTGAACATTTTACAAAGTCTCTATAAAATGGTGTTATGCAATGGAGTGAAATAAATATATATTATTCAGCCTGCTTATTAATTTAATATCTTGTTTATACATTAGGGACTTATAGTTAAAGGGTTTTATGAAATATATTCATTATAGTACTGTAATTAATACAGTTTCATTTCTTAAACTTTGATCAAAGCCTCACATAAAATTCCATCATTAGTTCTGTTCGTCATCGAATTCTCACAACAAATGTAAAACATGTCAACTTAAAAGGCAGCAAATCGGAAACCTTAAAAACGGAAGACATCCTCATCTCCTGTCTGACATTGCACACAAATTAAAAGACAAAAAACCTGACGAAATGCATGAGTGCATAACTATTGTCAGGTGAACGAGCATCGAGCATGGCACTGGATTCATATTTTTCACCAATTTAGAGACGACTTTTCTCGACTTTCGCTCTGCCCAAATTGTTGTAAAAGAAAATGCGAGTAAAAATGTGAGCTAAAAAAAAGAGAGATGCTGTGCACCAACCGATTTGCTGCGACAACTTACAGATGAGATTCAGTCGAAAGAAGTGAGCTGATATTTCGACACATTTTCGAGAGTGCAAATTGGAATTGCTGACATTGGGTAAATAATAGTTTGCTTGAGATGCAAGTGTGACAATGTTTTGGCAATTAAATTGAGAATCCTGCAGGATCCAAAAGCCAATAATAAGTGTTTTTTGCTATATCACCAACATCGATAATCAACAGCTCATTAAAAACGCGTCGAACCACAAAACAGGACATCATTAAATTGCCTTATATCCAACATTCGACCACACTCGGCACTTTGAAGGGATCTGTGGGAATGTGGGGGCTATCGAATGGGATCAGGTCGAACCCTAAATCGCATGAAATTATCTACATTTGCATACCGAAACACACAAAACACACAGACACACCCAGAGCTAATGGCAGTGGCAGCCACACCACATTTATATAGCTCATGAATTTTTGATTACGCATTTGGCAATGCGGCCAAAAACGGCCAAAAGCATCCGAACCCAAATGAGCCAAACCAATCCAACGGAAGTGACTCCATGCAATTTAATATTACGCATACGCAGCGTATGCAGCTGATTGGCAGCGGTTAATAAATACGAACCAACAGGCGTATACATACCACCGCCGTGCAAATATTTGTATGCGTATTCCATAATTCACTGGACGGCAATCGAGCAGCTTTTGTGTGTGACCAGAGTGCATCGTTATATGATAAATACGCTCATCATAATATCCTATCATTTTGGTCGCGGCCTGTGCTATCTGCGGTGAAAGCGTCACTGGAAATCGAGTGTAGATGTGAGCTAAAGTTGGTCAAACTACGCCAAAATCAAGCTAGTTTCGGGTTTATTTTGCCACCATTACAATAAAATATCTTTGAAACATATGTTTTTTGGTGGTTAAAAATGTTTTTTGTTCAAGCAATGTTAGTAGAATTGAATTAAATACTAAAAGGTGTGGCAATTTAATTACACGATTTATAGTTTTTATTTAAAATAACTTTCATCCAGTAAGTTGGTATTGAATAAGTGTTAGATAATACATATTGTTATTAAGTTTTAGTAAAGCCTGTTGGAAATCTAAGTTTTGAGCATCTTTGTGGTAAGTTCTCGATAATTCCATTTTAACTTTATTATAAATATCATTATCTGGATTAGTATTATACAAAAATTATAAAGGTTTTCAAATAAAAAAACTTGGAATCAAGTTTTGGCCATGGAAAACAATATTTACGACTCGAAAAAAAGTTATATTCAACCCTTCGTTATAAAGATATCCCATTTAATCAATTGTTTTTATAAAAATGCAAGTGATATAATATGAAAGAAATTATAATTTATTAATTAATTAATTAACTCCTCAATTAATGTACTTTCTGTTTTCGGTTCTTCTTAGGACCTCCGCGTTGCAGGATCATTCTTAGTGACTTGAGCACAAAAAGGACACACATTATTAATATTATCAAAGAGGCTAGTAAGATAAAGCCCAAGATATCCAGACTATGGTAGGTAAAGAAGTCCAATTCCCTTCCTTCTACACGCATATAAGTTGCACCCTTGTGCCGCAGGATGTAGTGAGTCCACCAAATGGCATTATCCAAAGGTTTCGTGGGTTGATCCCTATATCGGGCTGCTATGGTTCTCGCAGTAATATCGAAACTTCTTTCGTTTACCAGTCGCATTATTGTGCCCCTAAATTCTTCGGTTGTCATTTCCCAAAAGTTTAAAACCAAACCCAAGCCCTGCTGACTGATATAGTCCATGTTGCGGAACTGATCGTAGAAGAATGGCAATCCCAGCATAGGTGTGCCATGGTGTATACTCTCGACAGTGCTCTGCAGTCCTCCGTGGGTGATGAAGAGCTTGACCTTTGGATGCGCCAGGATATCCTGCTGCGGGAACCACTTCTTAATCAATAGATTTGAAGGTTTTCCAGCCAGCTGTTCGTCGTCAAACTTCCACAGGATTCGTTGTGATAGACTTTCAAATGTTTCCAGCAATACTTTCACTCGATCTTCTGTTAGTGTCTTGCCCCTCACATTGGTGCCCAAAGAGAAAAATATAAATCCATCTTCACCTGCACCTTGAATAAAGTCCTCCAAGTCCTGTGTCAAAGGCTTTGGCTGATGATTGATATGCATGCCTCCCACTTCAATCACATTCGGAGCCAATGGTCGTGGCTGAGACAGTGTAAAGTGTTGATTTACAAGCACCAGAGCGAAGTTTCGGGTAATCTCAGATAAAGTTTTCTTATCGGCAATTTTCGGGAAGTATTTTCTATATAGTGCCTCGTGTTTTTCTTTGTACCGCCATCTCCAGTTAACCCAAGATATGGATCGCTCCACAAAGTGAGCTAGACGACCAGAAAAGGTCTTCAGATTGTGAAAGTTAATAGAAGGAGATTGAAGGTAAGACATCGGCGAAATATTGCCCACCAATTCGTCTATCTTCCAGTCGATGCCATATGAAGCTATTCCAATTATTGGAGCCTTAAAGTAGGCTGCCAGGCCATAGAGAGCATCCATTCGCCAGAGATCTATGATAATCAAATCAAATTGTGCTTTTCCGGGCTTAAGAATCTCCCGACGCACTCCGTCATTGTTTAGCACTTTCTTTGCGAGATTCAAGTTGCAATTGTTGATGTAATCATTAGATTCCCAAGTGCCAGGCGAAGTGGTTAAGATTTTTTCAAGTTCTGGAATTTAATTTTAGTTAGAACATTTCGAACACTCTTTTGTAGTTCTTCTTTCTTAAGGTTTATTTTAGACCTTTGTTTTTATGGTCTTCAGGGTACTTACCCTCATTGTATTCAAATAGTTCCGGAACAAGAATTTCGTAAATATTAACAAAAGGTTCTTCCAACGAAAACGGACTCACCAAGGTTATTTCATGCCCCAAGGAGGCTAAACCTTTAAGATACGGTAACGAGTGATAGTAGTGCGAGTAACCTGGTATAGGATACAAGGCCAGGATGCGAGCAGCGTCCAGATAGCCAGGAATAAGGCACAGCAGGAAGCAGACCCGGCTCAGACGTAACATAGTTGGACTGGCCATGCGCTACCCTCGAATTCATATGAAAGACTGGTAGAGCTCACCAGCCAGACACGATAAGATTAAGCACAAAATGTTCTTTGGGCATCGGGACCATAAATTTTAAACTTTCCCTTTGAACCAATAAAAGAGAGAGAGACACCAGGGAAAGAACCTTATTAAAGTGGGCTGTAAATCAACAAACTCCTATCTGGCAGCCCATTTTCTATATTGTTTGTATTTGATGTTTGATTCAAATAATTTAAAATTTTTTATGTTATTCTTATGTTTAGTAACTGCACCAAAATTAAAATATTTATAATCCTAAAAACATATATAATTTTCACTGCTCTTTTAGTTTCTTTTTAGAACTTCCAGGTCCAACTAACTTTGATATTTTCCAAAGAATGCTTGTAATTATCACAATAATCAAAAGGGCTCCACCCAAGAGGGTACCAATGACATCCACGCTGTGGTAGGCAAAGAATCCCAAATCCTGGCCAGCGACTCGCATGTGATATGCTCCTTTGTGCCGCAGGACATACTCTGTCCACCAGATAGCAGTGTCCAGTGGCGTCATGGGTTGATCTCGATAACGATCCGACATCTGCTTGGCTGTCTCAGCAAATCGAGGCTCCTTGAGCAGCCGCTGTATGGTCTCCTTAAACTCCTTCTGTGTCATCGTCTTGTGATCCAATCCCAAGCCAAATCCCGCCTGTGTGGCCCTCTTGACATTGAGGAACTGATCATAGAAGAAGGGCAGACCCAGAACCGGTTTGCCATGATGAATACTTTCTATGGTGCTCAGCAATCCGCCATGGGTGATGAATAACTTCACCTTCGGATGGGCCAGGATGTCGGGTTGGGGGAACCACTTGCTAATGAAAACATTTGCGGGTTTACCCGGCAACTGATCGTCCTCGAATTTCCACAGGACGCGTTGCGGCAGACTGGCAAAGGTTTTCAGTATTAGTTCCCTTCTCTCATCCGGCAGATCCTTGCTCTTGACATTCGAGCCCAGGGAAAAGTAAATCACACCTTGCTCTCCAGCTCCCTGAATAAAGTCCTCCATTTCCTTGGGTAATGGTGCCGGCTTGTGGGATATATGCAGACCTCCGACCTGGATCATATTCGGAACATAGGGTCGCGGGAAACTCAACGAGAAATGCTGATTGAGAAGCACCAGCGAAAAGTTCCTGTTCAGCTCTGAAAGTGGAACTCTTGCCGAGGCCAATGGGAAGTGCTCTGCATACATTTTCTCCTGTTCCGGCATATGGAAAAACCTGTAGTTAAGCCAGCCAATCGAAGTATCCAAAAAATTGATAACCCGCTCTGCGAAAGTCATTCGATCGGTGAGACCCGCTGTCACCAGTGGAATATACGACAACGGTGAGACATTGCCGACCAGCTCATCGATATTATAATCGGTGCCAAAGGTGGAGATGCCAATGATGGGAGCATTGAAGTGAGCTGCAAACCCGTAGTAAGCATCCGTACGAAGAGCCTCCACAATAATAAGATCGTAGTGATCCTTTCCAGGCTGCAGGAGGGTCTCCTGTACCTCCTTGTTGGTAAGAACAGAGCGCGTGACACCCAAAAAGAACTTATTTACAAAGTTGTTCTCCTCCCATATGTTCATGGGATTGTCAAACTCGTGAATGATATCTAAATATGAAAGTGATTACAACAAATTACGAGATTCAAGATCATTCTTATCTTACTCACCGTTGTAGTTCTTAAACACTTCCAAGACAGGAATATCTCGAAAGTTCTTTACCGGTTTCTTCTGTGGAAAGGCATTGATGGAGGTCACCTCATGACCCCGAGATGCCAGAGTCTTTAAATAGGGCACCACATTGATATACTGCGATGGTCCTGGAAAGGGGAATACGGCCAGTATCCTGGCTGCTTCCAGGCAAGCGGGAAGGATCAACACATAACTGAACAGACGAATAGCCAACATGGTCTCGATCCGACAAACTCAAGCTATGAACTGAATCTGGAAAAAGCATGGAAAAATACGGCTATTAGATAAGACATTGTTGTTAGAGGCAGTAACATGCGATGGCATTTCGTTTGAGATGCGATTACAGAAATTTTGTAGGCGAACCACATCTCACCGTCGCACCCCATCGAAACAAACAGTAAGGAAGCTACATTAGGGTATACTAGACTTAGAGATACCTTGAAAAATAAATGATAATGTTAATTAATATAAGAAAATTAAACAAGTTTCAGTGGCAGGAATCAGCCTGCGACCTGTTTATAGATAGTTTTTTTTTAAATATTTAAATAATGAAAAGACTAGATCGACTTGCCTGGTTTTGATATAAACGAAGCCTGATAATAATTTAGGTACTGGGTATACCAATAAATTGCTAAACTGAATTAACAATTGATTGCATTCAGAAAAACAATAAAGAGATTGTTTATATTTAATATTATAATAAGTAAAAACAAAAAATGTATATCACTTAAATTAAAGTGTTACTAATCTTCTCTAATCCCTTTTTTATTTTTAATAATAATTTTTCCTTCTATATTTTTTCAAAGTGTAATGTTTGTATTTGCGATTGACCGAATTTATTTGATAAACAAAAGTTGAAGTTTATGCGTGCTGAAAAATAATGTTAATAATTACACTTGATGCTTTGACAGTATAGGTTAGAATAAATTAATAATAATTGCTTCATACCCTAACCTGGGTATGAATAACAAATATATACATTCATTAATTTGTGTTCAAATTAAATACTAATTAAGATGTAAAGTTTGAAACTTTGAATACATATTCCCATTCAAGAAAATAATACCCTATATATATGTTTCATAAAATGGTCTTTAATCTCAAATAAAATGTTTGTTCTTATTCCTATAACTACAGTGTTAAGATCATCTGGTTAAGAGTGCTTCGAAAAAATACAGATAACATATAACAGATCGGTGACAGTATAAACGCGACTAGTTAATGGACTTTAATTGGTTACTGGGTCTTCAATTTGTTCGGCGACCCACGACGCCAGGCGATGATATAACCGAGGCCCCTCACTAGATAGTTCAGAGCAATCACGAAGATCAGTATGGCGACAGTACTGACTGCGATGAGTAGTCCCCAGGTGTCCAGGCCATGCAACTGGATAAAACTGAGATCTCGGGAGGCACATCTCAAGTGCTGAGCTCCGTCGTGTCGCAGTACGTATTCCGTCCACCAAACAGCTCGCTCCAGAGCGGTCTCCTTTTGATCTCGGAATAGTTTGGATTTGGTTTGGGCTGCTTTCGCGTAGCTGGGATTGCTCAACAGTTCCTGGATCAAGGATTTAAGCTCCGTGGCATTAGCGCTCCACAAATCTGCACTGAGGCCATAGCCCGCCTGCTTTGCCCGTTGGACATTCAGATGCTGATCGTAGAAGACGGGCAGACCCAGAACCGGTTTCCCAAAGTAAATGCTCTCAATGGTGCTAAGTAATCCGCCGTGGGTGATGAAAAGCTTCACATTTGGATGGGCCAGCAGATCTGGTTGGGGAAACCATTTGCTAATGAAAACATTCTCCGGTTTACCGGGCAGCTTATCATCCTCGAATTTCCACAGGACACGTTGCCGCAAGTTGGCAAACGTTTCCATCAAGACCTCACGCCGTGCTGGCGGTAAGTCGACGCTCTTGATATTCGATCCCATGGAGAAGTATATGACTCCCTCTGCGGATTTATCCACAAACTCGGCCAATTCCTTGGGCAAATCCTGCACCTTTCGCTGCTGCTGCAAATGAAGTCCGCCCACCTCAATCATATTGGGCAGATAGGAACGTGGATAGCTCAGGGAAAAGTGCTGACCCAGCAGCACCAGCGAAAAACTATCCATAATCTCCTCCAGAGATTGCCGAGCAGATGGAAAGTATTTGGCATACAGCTCCCTTTGGGTGGGCATATGGACAATCCTCTTGTGCAGCCAAATGACAACGGCCTCCCAAACATTCCACAAACGATCCTCGAAACCCATTCGCTCTGTGCGGGATGAGAGGAGCATGGGATTGTAGGATAATGGTGATATATTCCCCATCAATTCATCAATGTGACGGTCAGTTCCATAAGACGAGATGCCCATTGTTAGGGCACCAAAATGCTGAGCCAGACCGAAGAGAGCCTCATTCTGCACCGTTTCCATTATGACCAAATCGAATTTCTCCTGACTATTCAATAAATCTTTGACAGCTGGTTCATCTAGGACACTTGTGGTCAGCAGATTCAGAAAATCGGTGGTCATAGTCAACACTGTCCATTGACTGGCTGTCTGGTCGTAGGCCAAGTTTGAAAATGCTGAAATATAAGCGGGTTTAGATAGTATATATTTCTTTAAATTCAAATGAAAATAGTTCGCTCAGTAGAAGAACGGACTTCATTTTTCAAGTACTTACCCGCCATTATTTCGTGTATTTTCTTGGCTCCAATAACTCGAAAATTGGGCTCGATTTTATCGCTACCAAAAGTGTTGATTACGGTAACATTATGACCGCGTCGTGACAACTCCTTAAGATATTGCTCAGCGAATATATATTGCGATCGGCCTGGAAAGGGGAACACGGCCAGAATTCTTGAACTTTGAACCTCTTCCTCGACAGCAGTGGCGCTCTGTCCTAAACCAATCAGTAATATGAATACCAGGCACCCGAGAAGCGGGCCCAGTCCAAGTTTAAAACAATTTATTCTCATTTTCAAAGCAACCACAACGATTCGCTGGCAAACGACAACTAATCTCGAATAGAAAAAAACATTTCCATATATTTATCGGGAAACAATGATTAAAAGCATTGCCTAATTTTGCTCGCTCTGAACAGCGAAACATTGGAGGTTCACTGGAGCGAGACAGAAGTTTGTTTTTTTTTTTTTTTTTTTTAAATAAAAGTAATTAAGTTCTCTCTATAAACTTATAGTTTTATGTACATATAGTTATGTGTATATACATATATTCGGCGTCACCGGCCAACAACTTTGTTGATTGTTTACGTTTACTCTCAGTATTTGGTTGTTATGCAAGCCATAAGAGAAATGAAAATGGTTCTCTTTGGTCAAAGGTTTCTCTTGAGAACTGACAACTAAGTCAGAAAATCAAAACTCTACGCTATCTCCCTACTTATCTCTCTCTTTCTAGTTTTTTATATTTTGTTTTTGTTTACGCGAACTTTTAATTAGACGCTGTTTTTCGTGCTCAGAGAACTCATGAGTGTTTACCTTACTCCCAATGAGTTGTTGATCTTATCAATTTCAAGATCTACGGGGGAGAAATAAACTCGTTATATTGATTTTATTAATAACAAACTTGAACTTGAACTTTATTTAATAATAATTGTAACATAAACGGACAGAAATTTTGCTTACTAACACAAAAATATAAACATTCATGATTATAACAAAGGCTTCGATAAAAGAAAGCATATTTACTGTAAAACTTAATCTTTAATTGCACATATTTCGTAAGCGATAGCTTACATTTAGTAACTCTGTCAGTTAAATTATAAAATTCTTTCAATATTATCTTAATGTTTAAAATAAATAAAATATTTTTATGGGGATACAAGTTTGTATTGGTTAACAAAAAATACAAAGAAAACAAAGAAGTTTAAGTTAACTTTAAGTGCAAAATTAATTTTGTTATACATATTTTAAAATTTTGAGAGTACGATATCTTAATTTTTAAAATCTTAGTATCATAAAACATTAAAATATTCTTTTTCAGCATTAATTGATTAATTTTTATGAGACTAAAATCGTTCAATGGCCTGATTTTCGGCAAAATAAAAGTTATAGAGTTACCATGCCGAAATTAAACTAGGAAGCACTTCAAATCATCAGAAATAAATAGTATAATTAAGATAAGATACCATTTTCACGGCTTCTATTATTCATTACAACAGCTGAAAACTAAATAAAAGCAATACGAACTATCGAAAGTAAGTTTTCTTTGATTACACTTAAATGAAATTGTTTAATATAAAATTAAAGAACTATAGAATATCCATAACTCTTATAAAGTTATACTATAATCGCCACATTTTAAATATTGATTAATTTCTTACCGTATAGCATTGAATATTAATATTCATTTATTATTACGTAATCATTAATATATTTGTTACTGCCTTATAACAAAAACACCTCTAAAAGCTACATTTAAAAATTAAGTATTTATATATTTTAACTATACAACTTATCACCGCATAGATAGGCCAAAAGCGCTCCACCAGTCTAACAATATAACTGAAGAGACATGTCCACTTGAAAAGAACCAAGAAAACGATGGTCATTACCAGGGTCAATCGGACACCGATCAGCAGGAACTTGTCCACGGAATAATATTCGAGCAGCTTAATGTGGGACGGAGATACCTTCAAATGATGTGCTCCCCTGTTCCGCAGGACATACTCTGTCCAGTAAACGGCCACTTCCAGCGGATGATTAATCTGATCCCGAAATCTTTTGGATACGCCCAAAGAATTTTCCCGGAAGCTTGGGTCGCTTATCAAACGGTTTAAAGTCTCCGTAAGCTCCTTCCCAGTCAAACTTTCGATTTTTACCTGGAGAGCAATTCCCTCGTCCTGCAAGACATCCAAGTTCCGGAATTGATCGAGGTACATAGGCATGCCGAGCACGGGCTTCCCATAATGGGCAGCCTCGATGATACTCAGTATTCCACCGTGGCTAATGAAGACCTTCACCTTCGGATGGGCCAGGATGGCCTGTTGTGGCAAGAGCTTCGCTAGGTAGATATTGTCAGCCACCTCACATGGTGGCTGACCTTCGAACTTCCAAATCACTCGCTGCGGCAGTTGCCTAAAAGTTTCCAGAAACATTATCAGTGTGTCCTCCGGCAAATCCTTGCTCTGTAACTCCACACCCAATGCAAAGTAGATCACACCGAACTCCGCTTCATCAATAAACAGTTGCAGATCCTTGGGTAGCTTTGGGTCCTCTTTTGGGATGTGCAATCCGGCCACTTCTACCATTCCCGGAACACTCGATCTGGCCCCAAACAGACTGAAGTGACGATTGAGTAGCATCAGGGAGAAGCCGTGTCGGATCTCCAAGAAGCTCCGTTCCAAGTGTCCAAAGAAGTGGTCGTGAACTTGCTTCAATTTCGGAAGGAACACCAGTTGCATTAGCAGCCACTCCTCGGTGTTATAGTACCAATTGTAGAGGCGATCCCAAAAGCTTTTAGCAGATGTCTCTCCCATTGGCATCAGTGGCTCCAGACCCAAGGATGATCCGTGTCCCATTAGACTGTTCAGATTCCAATCCACTCCGCAAGTGGAAAGACCGATTAGCTGGGCATTGAAATGAGGTGCCAAGCCAAAGAGCACATCAGTGTAGGTTGGTTCCACAACTACCAGATCAAAGGTAGCATTCGATTGAATCAACTTTCGAACTTCAAAATTATTGAGCACATTCCTTGCTGCATTAATCATGAGTCTCGTCAGAGAAGTACATTCTTCCCATTTGCTTATCGTTTTGGAAATTATCATCAAATCTACGAATTCTAAAATATATTTGATAGAAAGTAATTACTAAAACTAACTAAGTTCTTTGAAATCAACGTTATTGAAAGGTATTCTGAACTACCATGTGGATTTGTTATCTTTAAAGTGTCATTAGTTATTCAATTCAAAAGGTTTTATCTCGTAGATAACATCATACCTGCACAAACTTTCATATTATCCAGTACACGTATATATGTCACATTGCCAATGGGTTGGCAATGATCGAAGGCATGAATCACTGTCAACTGGTGACCCCTTTCCGAGAGTGCCTGTATGTAGGGCGTCATCAGGAGGCACTGCGAATAGGACTCGAAGGGGGCGATGACCAGTACTCGGGCTCCATGTGTTCCGCCGATCAGCCAGAGCAACGGCAGAAGCCACCGCTCCAAGGCGTACATATCGACCCAACGTCAACTCTTCGACTGACTAACTGAATGTGAGAAGAGCCAACGATTGGCTACTCTTTCAGGTTTTCTCTCCAATGATTAGATAATCCCTTCAAGCGTATCTGTCTCTGGCCAATACAATAATGGCAAGCTCTTGGAGTACCGCTATCTATTTGAATTTTAAGTTATGTAAGGTTAAGAAAAAGGAATTCAAATAAAAAAATGTAGCTTTAGCAAAGCCCAGTGAAATCTTTTGCATATCACATGCTTGTTTACTTTTATTGGGTTAGGTTCCTGTATTTAAAATGTTCTTAATATAAATTTAACAAATTAAAAATTGAAATTAATGCAGGACTACAGAAAAAATGTATGTTTGTCTGACGGTGCCTAGACAAAAGCACTTAATCGATTCCAAATATAAACCTGGAAACACTTTTAATCATCATAAATAAAGGGTATAATTAAGATTAGATAAAGCTTATCATTCATTTTTGCAGCTATAATCAAGCGAAAAAACAACAAAAGATATTTCAATTTTATAGAAATCACTCTAATAATAGGATACCACTTATTGTTTAGTACAATTTTTAAATTTCATAACTCACTTAAAACTTTATCCCAAAGTTGCAGAAGTCTTACTCTACTTGCATAAATTTTGAATTATTGTTGTTCTTAACAGACAACATTGTAGATATTTAACCTCTAGCACTAACCACTAATGTATTATTACGCAGTTAAACCAACATACTCCTATTTCCATATAAATGTATAAACAAACCTATTTAAAAATTAAACTTTAAACTTAAATACTTACATATTTTAACTATGCAACTTATCACTATATAAATGGGCCAAAACCGCTCCGCCACAAGGACCAAATGGGCCAGGAGGCACCTCCACTTGGAAAGAGCCATGAAAACAATGACCACAACCAGGGATAGTCGGATTCCCACCATCAGGAATTTGTCCACGGCATAATATTCTACCAGCCTTATATGGGAGGGACAAACTCTTAAATGATTTGCTCCCCTATAGCGTATGATATACTCCGTCCAGTAAATGGCCACATCCATGGGATGCATGGGCTGATCCCGGAATCTTTTCGATATGGCCAACGAATTTTCTCGGTAACTTGGCACGTTTATCAAACTATCCAAAGCCTCCATGAAGTCCTTGGCAGTCAGGCTGTTAATGCTCACCTGGAGGGCAGCACCGTCCTCCAGCAAGAGTTCTAAGTTTCTGAATTGATCGAAGAACACAGGCATGCCCAGCACAGGTTTTCCATAGTAGGCTGCCTCAATGGTGCTCATCATGCCCCCATGGCTAATGAAGACCTTCACATTCGGATGGGCCAGGATGGCCTGTTGTGGCAACAGCTCCGCCAGGAAGATATTACCGGCTACCTCACATGGTGGCTCACCTTCAAATTTCCAAATCACTCGCTGCGGCAGTTGCATAAACGTTTCCAGAAACATTTTCTGCGTTTCTTTTGGCAAATCCCTGCTCTGCATTTCCACACCTAAGGCAAAGTAGATCACACCATGCTTCGCCTCATCGATGAACTTTTGCAGATCCTTGGGTAGCTTTGGGTCCTCTTTTGGGATGTGCAATCCGGCCACTTCTACCATTCCCGGAACACTCAATCTGGCCCGAAATAGACTGAAGTGACTGTTGAGTAGCATCAGGGAGAAGCCGTGTCGGATCTCCAAGAAGCTCCGTTCCAAGTGGCCAAAGAAGTGATCGTGGACTTGTTTCAGTTTCGGAAGGAAAACCAGTTGCATTAACAGCCACTCCTCGGTGGTGTAGTACCAATTGTACATCCGATCCCACAGGTTTTTCACGGCTCTTGCCCCCAAGGGCATTAACGGCTCCACAATCATGGATGAGGATTGACCCACTAGACTGTTCAGATTCCAATCCGCTCCGCAGGTTGAGAGACCAATCAAGGGGGCGTTGAATTGAGCTGCCAAGCCGAAAAGCAAATCGGTGAATGAGGGTTCCACAACTACAAGGTCGAAAGTGGTGTTTGAATGGACCAACTGACGAACCTCAGAGTTATGAAGCACATTCAGTGATACTTTAATCATGAGTCTGGTCATGGAATTCATTTCTATCCATTTATTTGCCGTTAAAGATTGTATCAGGATCTCTTCGAATTCTGGAATAATTGTGGGTAAATAATATCAAATGAATTATTATGATTTTACAACTTTAAAACATATTATAAATAGACAAAATTCTATAAAAAAAAACATGGAAGTTTCAGGATTGTTTCTATCTCGCTCCGATTGTTAGTTGGTTTCTAAACCGCGGTTTGATTCTCTATTGCCATTCTATATAAATTTTGTGGTTTTTCTATTCAGATTTTTCTATATGCTTCTTTTATATTGTCCTTCTTTATAAATATTGAATAGAGACACTATTTTACTAGTTTTTCCGACCAATGCAATCTAAACTTTTGATTGTTGTTTGATCTTGTCACTTTACGTGATGAAGTGCTCTTATCTGGTTGTCATAGTTTTATTGGCGAATTTCCCGCAGTTTATGGCAATAAATCACTGCTTTTACATACCTGAATATACATTATTATTATCCGTTATGCGTATGTATGTAGTTTTTCCTATGCTAGAATGCTGGCAATGCTGGAATGCATGAATCACCGTCAACTGGTGACCCCTATCGACAAGGGCCTGTATGTAGGGTGTCATCAGCAGGCACTGTGAATGGCCCTCGAAGGGGGCTATGATCAGGATTCGGGCACCATCGGTCCAGCAGATCAGCCAAAGCAGCGGGAGAAGCCATCGCCCCGGGGCGAACATATCGATCGAACATCAACTTTTCGACTGACTGCGTGAAGTGCCAACCGATTGGAACTCTTCGGCATTTTCGCTCTTTGCTCCGGCTGATTAGATTGCTCCCTCGACCATGTCTGGCCGAGCACACTCCGGACGACCCCTGGACAAGGCAGTATCACTTCGGGCGGCGGCATGTGCGGTCGATTTGTGTGAGATGACGAGGGGCCTGGGCATTGCTGGTCTCTTGCTCCCGGCTTTACTCTGCGGCCTGCTGTGCCCTCAATTGGCCAGAACTGAGAACATTTTGGCCATATTTTCCTACACCTTTGGGTCATCCTACCTGCTGATCACACCGTATATAAGAAGCCTCGTGGAGCGGGGTCATCAGGTGACCCTGATATCATCCAGCACCGAAATGCCCGAAATCGAGGGAGTGCATCATATTCGTGTGGCCAAATTGGATATGCTTATGAAAAGTAATAAAGCTTTTGATTTAAAATTCTGTCTAAAATTAATTTAAATCAGTTTGGTGTCATGAATTCTTGATCGTTTTATGGATTACTGCATGTGAAATGGACTATGAGTAATAATAATAACAAATTGTATATAAATAGTTGCGCATTAAGTTTTATTTTGAACTGTGAAGCAAATTTAATCGGTAAAAAAGTTATTCCCAACTGATCAATGTTGCTTTAATTTAAATTTTGTTACACTAGGTCAGAGTTGTTTTTTAATATGATTTATTTATCAACATTTTCTACAATGTCTGCGATTAAAATCCATTCACAGTATTCTTGGATTTCGACTTTGATCCCGAGCTAAGCAAGTGGATGGAGGCTCAGTTTGTGTCCGATTATTTCTACAATTGTTCGAAGTTCGTGCTCGAGGATCCTGGAGTGCAGGAGCTGATTCGCAATACCAGTGCCCAGTATTCCATGGTAGTTTTGGAGGCCTCGCACACGGATGCCCTATATGGTTTCTCGCAAATCTTTAATGCACCCCTGGTGGGTATCGCTGCCTATGGATCGGCATGGAACATTGACTTTCTGGCTGGTAACTCCGCTCCAAGTGTCTACGAACCAATGTCAGCCCTGGGCTACTCGCCAGGTCTTAGCCTGCTGGAAAAGTGGCACAATCTGATCTTCATAACGGAAGAACGACTGGTGGAGCGCTTTATCTATTTGCCCCGCCAAATCGATTTGTATAAACAGCATTTCCCCACCATATCAACCAGTCTCCATGACCTGCGCCGTAGATTCTCCCTGATCCTGATCAATCAGCACTTCAGTATGGGCCGGGTTCGAAGTAATGTTCCCAATCTCGTGGAGGTGGCTGGAATGCATTTGCACAGCCCCCCTGAGCCCTTGGATAGGGAACTCCAACAATTTCTGGATGAAGCGGAGCACGGAGTGGTCTATTTCTCTATGGGCCTGCAAATGATGGACAGGTGGCTGCCGTCGGAAATGCTAACCACAATGTTGACAGCTTTCAAGAAATTGAAACAGCGTGTGGTTTGGAAGACCAACGATCCAAGAATGGGCAATAAATCGACGAATGTGTATGCCAAAGGATATCTGCCGCAACGTGCGATCCTGAAGCATCCCAATGTCAAGGTTTTCATCACCCATGCCGGTCTCCTGAGCACCATCGAGGCCACTCATTACGCCGTGCCCCTGTTGTGCATACCGATCTTCTTTGATCAGTTCCAGAACAGCGATCGCATGGAGAAGATGGGAGTGGCTCGGAGCTTGGATGTAGGGAGATTCACGCCAGAGATGATGGTGGAGGCCATCGAGGACATGTCCCTTAATCCCATATACAAGCAAAAGGCTCTGGAACTGTCCGACAGATTCCACGATCAGCCCATGACGCCCATAGAGACTGCCATCTGGTGGACGGAGTATGTCCTGCGGCACAAAGGAGCTGACTACATGCGAATCGCGGAGCAGGAAATGTCCCTGATGCAGTACTATAACGTTGACGTGGTCTCGGTGCTCTTCGGCAGGATCGGACTGAGTGCCATGATTCTGATCTTTCTCGGCTGGAAGCTGGTTTCGTTGGCAACGCGGAACCTGGAGTATCGCTTCAATGTTCCCATGGTGAGGTGACCACAAAGATATTTCATTTAAAACAAAGAATATGTTAGAAAATCAATTTGCTCTTTAATTGCAAAACAATTTAAAATTATATTTTGTATATATAAAACAAAGTAACCTTTTGTTTTAAAAAGTGTTACAAGTCGGAATTTGTATTATCTGTTAATATTAATCTTCTTAAAACGTATTAATTTGATAAAATGTAAATATATGTTGTAATTGAAAAACTTTAAATAAAAACAGATCTCTGTCACTTGAAACAACCTAAAACCTATTTATAATTCAATAAAAAGAAAAAAAAGTAAATAAAATATGTTATTTTCTCTAACCAAAATCGATATTTATTCATTGTATTTAATTTCTTATTAATATTTTTCCAAAAATATTATGGCTTGTGAAAAGCATTCATTTTTTAAAACTTACTAAGCAAATCAAATTTCTATAACCTTGCCTTTGACTAAGCTAAATTCTACAACTTGATAAGCGGCCTCAAAAATCGTGTGTATTTATTGTAAATATTTGTATCAGGCCTGATAGCATATTATCTTATCAGTTGGTGGAATAGCAACAGAATGCAAAATAAAATCATTTCTTCAAATGTAAAAGCTTTGATAATTTATAATCGTTGTTCTTTTTTAGCAATTCAACATTATTATTTGTATATAATTAGTTATATTAATCTATTAATTTATACATTAATAAAAGTATTAAGTACACAAAGGAAAGGGAAAGTACTGAAAGATAGGCCACTCCTTAAAGCATCCTGTATATTCTAATTAGAAAACTTTACCAGTCGTTATCTTTCCGAACCCTTTTTCTTTCACTTCTTCCTTTATTTTTTTTTTCTTTCCTTTTATTTTTTGGCCCATAAACATAACCGCGCTCATTACGCATTTTACATCAATCAGCACGTGCCCAGCATGTTTTCAACTCTTTTTTATACAAAAATACAAAAAAGAAAAAACCGAAATGAAAAAGGGGAATTGAAAAAAAGAGAGGAATACTTGAAGAAAAAAGGACATTAAAATGCTCAGGACAAGCTGATGGAAAAAAAGTGCGCACAATTGCGCTCACAATTGCTGGGTAAAATATCCCAGAAACGTGAACCAGAAGATGTCTGTGGTCTCTCGGCAAAGAGGAGTTCCTGAAACTGAAGGATGTTCCTAAAAGTCTAGAGAGTTTTCCCTTCAAAAACCAGCGAAGTGTAACGGTCCATCGATAGCCAAGGTAACAAAAGTTTCACGCATAAAAATAGACCCATGTACAGTGAACAGTCCGTAACATGAGCATTAAGTATCAGTGGAAAACAATAATTACAAACATTTTGATAACGCTTTCAGCATTTGTTTATAGAGTTCACCACCGATAAGATACGGTAATTGAAGGTGTTGTTCCTATCAATATTTGATTAGCTCTTTCGGTTAAAAGCTAAGGGCCAAAAAGGTTAAGTTAAATTTATATAATAAATCAAAGAATTATTTAAATATTTTATAAAGATTAAGAGACAAATTCTGAAAATTTCAAGTAAAAAATATTATATATTATTGAATATATTAGGCAATGTCAACTGTATTTTCCAGTTCATCAAATTTATTTTGGTCCCCTTACAAGCTGTTACTAATAATTGAAAATTATACATATATACTTTATAAATATATAAAAATATGTAAACCAAAAAATTGGCTAATAAGTTAGATGCCAGCAGAAACCAAATTGCACTCAACGTGTTGTCAATTTGATGTTTATTGCAGATTTTTATTTGATTTTATGCATGCAACATTTGAATTTATGTCCCGGCCATAAACTGCCTTCAAAGTCTAATCTAAAAATTCTTGTAAAATTGCCAAAGTCCCGCCACGACTGGCAGAGTTGACCCAAGTCAGGGGCAGTTTTATTGGCCATTTGGCAAAAGACGCCAAGGGAACCTCGCTGGCGTTTCTGCTGCTGCTGCTGCTGCTCTTGGCCAATACTCAAGTGGGCGGCTTTCATTGGCGCTTAACTAACTGAAATTAAGTAAACTTTTCTTTTGACTTTCATAAGCCTTTTAATAAGCCATAATCCCCGCTGGCATTATCTGGCCCCCCACGACATAAGAGCACAAAGGACAAAACGCCCACAGACACACGCATAATAAAATCTAATTAACATCCCGCACTGAGCTCGTGAAAACCTCACGCAATAAAAATCATCAATAGTAGGAAAGAAGTTTATTAAAAGTGATTTTCATCACTGCGACGACCAAGTCTCTTGGGTTTCCGCGGGGGAGGAGAGGATGGATGCTGGTGCGGAGATAACAGGAACTAATGTAGGGGCAGGAACTAACATTTCCAGGGCTGATTAACTTTATAACACATGAACTACTAGTCTTCTTCCTTTCTTTTGGCATATAGAATACAAGAAGAATAGTGTTAGTTGTATACACTTCTGGAAAGACTTAGAAAGACTATAGAAAAACAGGTCACATTTTGTATTTATTTCTTTTCATTTTATTTGTTCATTAATAAATGGATAGTAAATAGTATAATACTCAAAAAGTAATGTATTATACGATATACATATCAAATATGTATATATCAAATATTTCAATTGATTTTAATTTGAAACGTAAAACCAAAAAGCTTAAAAACAAGTATATATTAATACAACTATATAATAAGTAAAAATGTATTTTTCTTCATAAAATCAAAACCCCAACAAGAGAAGACATTTAGACAGCTAAGTAATGAAAATAAATTAAATAAATCTAAATCTAAGCTAATAGATTCTTGAATAAATGATAATAAATATTATATTCCTTAACTTAATTAAACCCCACAATTTATTGATTGACCTTTGCTTTATTAAAAACAAAAACACAGCTGCATTTGACCTATTTCAAGCATTCAACGCATGTCACCAAATTACATATCTTGCCACAAAATTCAATTAGAGAGCATATCCGATTCGTTGCATCGATAAGACCTTCACGTAATTTTCATTTTCCTATGAGTCTTATACATTCTCTTTTGTTTTTTTTTTTGGTTAGAAAAGTTATGCGGCAAGCTTTTAATTAGCGCCTGCCAACCAGTCAGCCAGCCATCCTGGCCAAAGTCCCAGAGCGCATTACGCATACGCAGCGTTGACGCCGAGGTTGCCGCCGAGGCTGGGCACATTGGCTCTGGGATTGCCGCTGGCTGCTCGGGCACGATTTTAATTAATTAGACTTTTATGAGGCGTACATGCAGCAGCAGCAACGGCAACAACGGCGGCTCAGTCATTGTTGGGTTAAGGCCCAGTTATTGTTTTTTTTTTGTTCGTTCTCTGAACTCCCCAGTTGTTTTCGGTGTTTGCGCTGGACTGGCCTAATAAGCATTTCAGAGCTTAACACCGCCAACGAAATGTGTATCAAAATTTAGCATTTATTTTTCGGTGCGGTGGACACACACACATACACCCAAACACACACACACACTAACACACATGTCGTGTGCGGTAATGAAAATTGCGGTGGCATTATGCTCAACATTTGGCATAATTGCAGCCCAGGATATGCGTTTATGCTCAGAGATTACTTTTTGTGGCTGCTGGCCATTGACCAAGCCCTATACCACAGCCAAATGCCACCATCACCAGCACCACCAGGACCACCACCACCAGCATCACCACCATCATCTCCACCACCGGGAACAGCGAATGACCGGGCATAATAAAAGCCAGACGACGATGTCGCCTTTTGTATAAAGAAATAAAAATAATTCCCAACTCCCAGCGAATCCGCTCACATTTGTGTTGGCTTTTGTGTTTCAGCTCTTGTTATTGGTATCTCGCTTTCCTACTCGACGGTTCCTTGTTCCCCCTTTGACATTTTTTCCTTTTATTTTTATTTTTTTGTCTGTGGTTGCCAGGCAAATTAATTTCCACTTGCTTCAAATATTTTTTTTTTTCCATTGGCGCGACATATAATTTGTCGTTTGCAGGACTTAAAGCAAGGAAAAAAAGGGTTTGTAATTAAAAGTAGGGAATTTATTTGAATGTTAATACCAGGTATATTTAAAAAATCGTAATATATATTTTATTGTAAAGATTTAAAAGCAAAGATTTATAATGTTTTCTCTCTCTTCTTTAAAATTTTTTTATGCAATTTCTAAACAAAACTCTCTTGCATTATTTTATATATTCGTTATATTAGGTAAAATCAAATAATATTCTTACATATCCATGGATATTTGAACAGAGATTTTATTAACACAATATGAGAATATTTCCGAAATGATGTTTTCTTTTAAATAAAGATTTATTCCGAGACCGTTTTATTATATTCATTTAGCTTAATAATTCTCTTGCTACACATATTACCCCAATATGTATAATAATAAAGATAAACTTCACATAATTATACTTTTTACTTAAAAATTGTAATTACGATATAACCTTAAATTACCCACTTACTCCCATTGAAAGACATAAATTACTTGAAATATGCGGTAGCAAAAACGGGCTCCAAAATGTCTAAAAGACTTTTATCGTGCAAATCAAACAAAGGGAAGAAAAAAATATCCGAGCAGAAAGTAACCAATAAACATAAAAAACAGTTGCAAAACAATAATTAAAATGCACACGCAACAATTTACTGGCTAGGCGAATGTATATATACATAATAATAAAAAATATGAAAGAAAGTGAACAAAAAATAAGGAATAAACCAAATTATGTTTATTATTATGCACGATGAATGGGCTGGAAGTTGACGGGATGGAGCGAAAATGGTGGCGGAGCAAACAAAGAGCCGAAAAAGAGAAATAAGCTGAAGGAGTGAGTCCTGTCGGGTGGGAAAACTGGGAGGGTGGCGCCAAGTAATCCGCTTGTTAAAAATAAACGAAAATAAAAGCGTTGGGCGATGGGTGGCAGCGGAGGAAACAGAGGAAGCGCACACAAAACATAATCATCATAAACCGGAAATATCCCGACGGCAAAACATCCGCACATAAATTTTTTAAATAGTCTACAATATTTCGTTTTGCCGTTCGGCATTTGCCATCTCTGTTTCTACTGCTTTTATTGTT